CGAAGGCGCTCACTAAAATCAAACCAAACAGGAATCTTTTCTCACCCGAAGGAATTTATTAAATTAGCAGGAAACAATGAAAAAAGAAGTTGAGTTAATCTAAAGTTTGTAGATGGTTTTATCAACAAGAAACCGATTAAAATTATGATAGACACCGGTTCGGAAATTACATTGATCAACAAAAAATTAATAGAAGAGGTTAATTTAACAAATTTAATTTACAAAATTCCCAGGGTAAATTGAGTGGGCGCAAATAAACGGACTTTTTCAACTATAAATGAAGAAATACGAATAAGGGTACAATTGGGTAAGCAATTTTATGCCCTACAATGTGTAATAATGCTAAACATGTTGCATAATATGATCGTAGGAGTAGACGAATTCGCAGAAAAACATGTGGTGATAGATGTTAAAAATAACACGACGAGAATCACGGAGGAAAACGAACAAGAACAGGACATATTAGAAAAGGACAAGGAACATGAGAATCGGAAAAATGATCATTTAGACAAAGAACAAACGGTGGAAATGAAGTTGGCAACGAAGCAAGGACAGAGAAAGAAGAAAAAGCAGAAAACAAAATTAAAAAAGGAAATAGGGAATTTATCAAAAGACGAGATGAGCTCAGAAGAAGAGGAAAAGAAAAAAAGGTTTGATAAAAGAAAAGGGAAAAGATATAATTGAAACGGGGGTGTTTGAAGAAGAAGTATGCGAGATGGAGAAAACGGAATTAATTACCGAGTTGGAAGCTCTTAAATTTGAAAAGAAACATTTGCAGATGTTGCTGGAAATGAAAACTGATGACAAAAAAAAAAGACTTATGGATCGCCTAAATAATTTTACAGTTATGGAACAAAGTTTAAACATAGAAATTGGCAGATTGTTAAGACTTTTAGGAGAACAAAAACGAAAAATTGCTGAATTAGAATCTGATGTTATAGCCAGCAAATTTGTTTCTTCGAATTTAAGTTCAAGCTTTGATGTAGAAAACTTGCAGAAACAACGATCTCAAATACATGATTCATCTGCGCATACTGCCAAAAATATCGGTTACAAAAACTCACAAAAAAACATGCAGGAAAGCTTTTTCAGGATCAGCTGAATTGGATTCGGTAGCGAATGAAGCTAAAGAGAGCTTAGATCAGATCAAATCATCACCTGGTTTGCAGTAGGATTCTAAAATGTGATCAAAGTGTTGTTGCGAAGTTGGCGATTGTATTAAATGGATGAGAGAGCTGTTCGAGAAAGATATGGCTTTGAGACAAGAACAGGCTTCCCAGCAAACTGAATCTTTACGAAAAGTGAAAGAAGTAAGTTAAAATATAGGACATAGATTAAGAAGAAGAAATATACAGGGAAAATGTTTTGCATCGAAAAAAATCCCCGCATAGTTTTAGTAATTTTTATCAGATGCAAAGGCGGGGATTTTGTCATACTTCTTGTTCTCAGCCAAAGAGAAAAATAAAAATTAATAAATAGACAATTTAAATAAATTTTCAAGAAATCCTGGTAAACAAAATTTATTTATTAGATTAAGATAAGATTAGATTAACATGATTTTTAAACACTCGCAAGTAAAATCTTTTTATATAGAATTAGAAAGCCCATACTCAGAATAGCCAAATAATCCCAACATCATACAGGTTTATGCACCAACTACAGACGCATCAGATGAAGTAGTGGAAAACTTTTATAGTGAAATCAAAGATTTACTTAAATTGACAAAGAAACATGATGTCAACATAATTATGGGAGATTTTAATTCCAAAATAGGGAAGGGCAGCTTTGAAGGCGTAGTTGGACCCTATGGTCTTGGAACAAGGAACGAAAGGGGCGACCGACTTATACAATTTTGTCAAGAAGAAAACATGAGGGTTACCAACACATAGTTCCAACTCCATCCCCGTCGTCTTTATACTTGGAAATCTCCAGCCGATAGAGCTCAGAACATAATAAGAAATCAAATAGACTTCATTCTTATCAACGGTAGATTCGGCACAACTGTCAAAAGAGCTTGCACATACCCTGGAGCAGATGTTCCTTCTGACCACGTACTATTAGTGGCCGTCATAAAGATCGCTCTTTCATGCAAAAACAAACCTGAAACTCAACAACAGATAGCACTGGACAAACTGAAAGACCCAATGATACAAGCAGAAATAAGCAATGAAATAAACGCACAAATTCAAATATTGACGACAAACATTGCCGAAGATCTAACACCAACATGGAATAAGATTACAAGTGCTGTAACAGACATCATTAAAAACAACTTAGGGTACAAACGAAATAATAAGAGGCAAAAATGGATGACAGAAGAAATACTATTACTAATGGAAGAACGACGAAGACACAAGAATAATCAAGATGGCAGCAATATGTATGAAAACATTAACAGGCAAATAAAAGCAAAAATAAGAATAGCAACAAATGAATGGCTTAAGAAACAATGTATCGATCTAGAACATTTACAACGACAGCACGACAACCGTAATTTACATAAAAAGCTTAAGGAGACTGCTGGAATATACAGAAAACGAAGACTAACTATCATAGTTAATCAGGATAACCAGATAGTGCTGGGTGAAAAGGAGAAAATTGATATATGGGAAAATTATACCCAGGAGCTCTTCCATGACGAAAGACCCATGAGTGAAGTTTATACAGACGACCAGCTGACTGGCCCTTCAATCACCAAAGAGGAGATAGAAAAGGCAATATTAAATTCAAAAAACAATAAGGCACCTGGAGCAGATGAAATCCTGTCAGAAATACTCAAATTATTGGATGAAAGGAGAATTTCAGCAATACACAAAATATTTAACTTATTTATGAAACTGGCTGCTATCCTCAACAGTGGTTATGCTCTACCTTTATTCCCTTGCCCAAAAAAGTAAATGCAAAAAGATTTGAGGTTCACAGACTCATTAGTCTGATGAGTCACACTTTAAAGCTATTCTTAAAAATACTACATCAAAGATTATACAAAAGATGTGAATGGGATATCAGTGACTCCCAGTTCGGGCTTAGGCAAGGTTTAGGAACACGAGAAGCAGTAGTAGCAACACAGGTACTGGTCCACAATTGTTACGATCAGAAGAAGGATGTGTTTCTATGCTTTTTAGATTACCAAAAAGCGTTTGATTGTGTCCAACACCACAAGTTAATGCAGATCCTCAAGAAAGTTGATATAGACCAAAAGGACATAAGATGCATTGAAAACTTGTACTGGCATCAAACGGCACAGTTAAAAATAGACAATTCTATATCCAAACCCATACATATAAGAAGGGGCGATCGACAGGGATGTGTGATTTCCTCTCTTTTATTTAACATTTGTTCGGAAGCCATATTTCAAGAGTCTTTGGAGGATGCAAAGATGGGAATCAAAGTGAATGGAGTATTGATCAACAACATACTATATGCTGATGATGGTGTCTTAATTTGTGACAACGTAGTCGATCTTCAACAACTTGTCACTATAATCCGAGAATACAGTAAGCGAATGGGATTAGAGATTAATACCAAAAAAACCAAATTTATGATCATCTCCAGAAACTTGGATGCACTTGAAAACTCCACCATAACACTGAATACTAAGTCCATTGAAAGAGTGAGTAAATTTAAATACCTGGTGTAGTGGCTTTTTGAAGACTGGGCAACGGACAGGGAAGTAAAATGTCGCATTGAGCAAGCTCGACAAGCTTTCGTAAAATTCAAGAAGGTACTGACATGTTCAGAGTTCGATCTTCAACTGAGACTAAGTACTAAGTGCTACTTGTGGTCAGTGCTGCTATATGGCGTAGAGAGCTGGACACTCAAAATGAGGGATATAAACAGATTAGAAGCTTTTGAAATGTGGCTCTATCGCCGTATCCTAAAAATACCATAGACAGCGAAAATCACAAATATAGATGTTCTTAAAAGAATAAACCAAGAACGCCAACTTTTCAAAACCATCAAGAAAAGTTCGTCCAACTTATAGTCGAGGGTAAAATTGAAGGCAAGAGAGGAATGGGACGCAAGAAAATATCCTGGCTTCGAAACATAAGGCAATGGACAGGGATTAACGACATACAGTCTCTGATACATATTGCAAGAAATAGAGAATTAATGGAAAATGTGATCGCTAAGATTAAGATATTGTAATTAACCTTTTGATATAGGAATGAATTATGTATTTGTAACCGAAGTTTGAAAAATTTTAGTTTCTCTGGAAACAGTAATGAGGTAGTTTCTTAATGATTGTAAACAAAATAAAGCTTTGATTGAACAGTTTTTTTTTAAATAGGAGAATTGATAGTCGATGTATGAAAGAGAGTGGGCAGTTTTCATTTTGATCATCGAAAGGAAAGGTCGCGTCTCGATAGAAAATGTGTTCGTGAGTTTGGATACCGGCATTGTGAAAGGAAGTTACCAGAATTGTGGAAGGAGATTACACGTCGATGAAAAGATATCCTTGGATCTAAAGTGGGCAGTTTCTGGAATACGTAGGAAATAGTTTGGCGGCACCAAGTTGACAGAAAGAGGTCCTTGTATCATTGAGAAGTAGCTGAGTGTTTAAAGAATTAAATTTCAAGTGTTAATTTGTTGGAGAATTGAGTCAGGTGTTTTGTACAGTCGCTGCAGGAGGGTTGCAGATACGAAGAGAATAAAGCCGAGGCGAATAGTGGCAGATCACATTGCTGTGGAGCGTGGACGATTCTCAGTATGGTCCAAATACAATCTACGAATTTTTTGTGACATACTATTTTTATTATTATCCTTTTTTCTCTATCCCGATAATAAAGGACAACTAGGAAATCTTTGGTCCCACACAACATAGGTTAATATAAGAAGATTTTTTACCCTGAGAACAATTAAGTTATGTTTTTGATTTGCTCAATTAATCAAGTTAAAAAAGTAATAACATAGCAATATATATATATATATATATATATATATATATATATATATATATATATATATATGTATATTATAAAAATTATAAAATAACTTACCAGAATTGGTTCCAACAACAAAATTGGCATTGCTGCAATAGCTTTTCCTGCCTCTTCAAATAGCTGCACTACTAGTTTTATTCTATTCCTCATTACAAAAATAATCAGACTTATAATAACCGTAACGATTGTCGCCAAAATTGCAAAAACCAAATAGGTATCTGACTTCCTTACATCGACATCTGGTAGCAAAGAAGATGGCATGCCATCATTAGCGTCCTTTGAATGTTTCCACAGAATCCTGAAAAAATTAAAAAATGGATACCACAAAGCTCCGTATTGAGGCCCTTGTAGTGTATTTACACACCATAAGAGTATCGTTCCTATTAGACAGGCCGCCAAGGAACCTAAGAGTACTATCCATACAACAACTCCTACTAGGTATCTGAATAATACTAGTAGCAAAGATGATAACACTGAAACAAAGTTTTAATTATCAAATAATATATTTATGCTATGTATTTATATACTGGTATATAGTTTACCTAAAGCAATAAGGCAGAGGTAACAAATTTCAGTCCAACATATTTGAAAGTCTTCCGATACTTCCTAAAATTAAAATAAAAATAAAAAAGTTTTATATATTGTTACGATAATTATGGCGTTTATAACTATCAATATATTATGACTAATTCTGTTTTCTGTTCCAGTAAATTCGAAGTTGTTTACAGAAATTTTTAGACCCTAATTTTATGAGTAATCCAGATTGTTCAGGAAATAAAGAAAGACGGGTGATAGAACCTTCTACGAGCCCATGGGTCTCTCCGGTGGTCCTGGTTAAGAAGAAAGACGGAACAACGAGGTTCTGTGTGGATTACCGTTTGTTGAACAACGTTACCAAGAAAGATAGTTATCCTCTGCCTCGGATCGATGACACACTAGACACATTGGCCGGAAGTAAACTATTTTCTACTTTGGATTTGAAGTCTGGATACTGGCAGGTAGAAATGGACCCGGTAGATAAAGAAAAGACAGCCTTCACCACAGGATCTGGATTATGGCAATTCAACGTTATGCCATTTGGACTTTGTAACGCTCCTGCGACATTTGAGAGGCTTATGGAAAATGTGTTGAGAGGGCTATCTTGGAAAACATGCCTAGTTTATCTAGACGACATAATCGTCTTGGGGGAGACATTTGAAGACCATCTGAAGAATTTAGAAAACGTTTTTAATCGACTTAAAGCTGCCCAATTGATGTTAAACCCCAAGAAGTGCCAGCTATTTTAAGGAAAAGTCAATTATTTGGGTCATATAGTCAGTAAAGAAGGAGTGGCCGTGGATAAGGGAAAAATCGATTCCATTAAGGAATGGCCAAAACCAACTGACAAACATCAAGTGAGAAGTTTTCTTGGACTATGTAGGTACTTATTACCGGAGGTTTATTAAGAAGTTTGCAGATATCGCTAAACCATTAACGCGACTTACAGAGGAAGCAAGAGAATACCGCTGGGATGTAGACTGCCAAAATGCCTTTGAGACCTTAAAAAAGCATTTAATCACAGCACCAATTTTAGGGTATCCACTGCCAGAAGGAGAGTTCATCTTAGATACAGATGCAAGTAATGTGGGAATTGGAGGTGTGCTGTCTCAGATTCAAGGAGGACAGGAAAGAGTCCTTGGATATTTTAGTAAAGTTCTCTCAAAACCTGAGCGGAATTATTGCGTCACGAGAAGAGAACTTCTGGCAGTAGTGAAATCAGTAGAGCACTTCTATCAATACCTCTATGGAAGGAAGTTTTTAATCCGAACCGACCATGCCGCCCTTAAGTGGTTGATGCAGTTTAAGAATCCAGAGGGTCAGATAGCCAGGTGGATCGAACGACTCCAAGAATATGATTTTAAGATTGAGCACCGGGCCGGAGTTAGCCACCGAAACGCTGATTCTCTTTCCAGAAGGCCATGCCCAGCAGAGTGTTCCCACTGCAACAAAACGGAATCCAAGGAAGCAGCAGTGCTAAGAACGACGGTGATCAACGACGACTGGACGCCTACCAAGATCAGGGAAGAACAAGAGAGAGATCCCGTTATACAGAAAATCCGAAAATGGAAAGAGGAAAACCGTCGACCACCTTGGCAAGAAATATCGAACCTAGGCTCAGTAGTTAAGACGTATTGGGCCCAGTGGGACTCATTTATCATGGAAGATGACTTGCTCAAACGAGTCCTGGAAAGTGATGACGGTTCAGAGAAGAGAAGACAGTTGGTGATTCCAAAGAGCAGAATAGCCGAAGTACTTCGTCAGTTACATGACAGTCCATCAGGAGGGCATTTTGGTGTGAAGAAGACCCTTCAGCGAATTCGGGAACGGTTTTATTGGATGAACAGTTCCGACGATGTAAAAGACTGGTGTAAGAAATGTACTATTTGTGCTACGAGTAACGGGCCTTATCGAAAAAGGAGAGCTCCTATGAGACAATATAATGTTGGAAGCCCGTTTGAAAGAATAGCTTTGGATATTGCTGGGCCATTTCCAGAAAGTGATAATGGAGGCAAGTACATGTTGGTAGTAATGGATTACTTCACTAAGTGGGTCGAGATTTACGCACTTCCAGACCAGAAGGCGGCCACCGTTGCAGATAAGTTGATCCAAGAATATATCAGCCGATTTGGAGTGCCTTTGGAGATCCATAGTGACCAAGGCAGGAACTTCGAAAGCGATTTATTCCAAGGAATATGTGATAGACTAGGAATGAAGAAAACAAGAACTACGGCTTATCATCCGCAATCGGATGGTATGGTAGAACGAATGAATAGAACAGTTGGCAATATTTGACAAAGATGGTGTCCGATCATCAGCGAGACTGGGACCAATATCTTCCGTTCTTCACAATGGCCTACAGATCTGCTGTTAATGAATCAACAGGCCAGACACCAGCCAGAGTCCTATTCGGACGCGAGATGCGACTACCTTGTGATCTAGAGTTTGGGTGTCGACCTGGAGAAGATGTAGCAGGTGAAGATTATGTGATCGAATTACGAAGAAGAATGGACGATGTACACGAGTTGGTCCGTTCCCATCTCCAGATCGCTAGTGACCGAATGAAGAAACGGTACGATACGCAAGCCGAAAAGGGGTGTTTTAAGAAGAACGATAAAGTCTGGCTTTATAACCCCAAAAAGCGAAAAGGTTGTTCTCCCAAATTGCAGCAGTTTTGGGAAGGTCTATACCTCATTATGGAGAAGATCAATGATGTTATTTACCGAATAAGCAAGATTCCGAGAGGAAAGCCGATGATAGTACACCATAACCGGTTGGCGTCTTTCGAGGGTGACCACGACGTAGATGAAGAAGTGGAAGTAAACCAAGTCCAAGGTGTGTCTGACCTCACGTTTGAGGAATTCATGGGTGCCTATGGAGGTACCGGTAAAGCAAGACATGGTGTTACCACTGAAGAAAGGCAAGATCTACTCGCGCTTCCCGATGACTACTCACTGGCCCTTACCATCCCGGCCAGTATCAAAGACGCACCAGGGTTGGCATCCGTCTTTCGAAGGAAGTTTGGTCGAGTTGCAGAACTTCAATGCCAAGTGCCAGCTCCCGGTAAAACCTTGAAACTCCAAGATGCATCACGTTACCTTTTCTACCTGGTAACAAAAGACACTGCCCGTGACCAACCTACCTACCGAGATGTATGGGAAGCCTTACTTCAGTTGAGAGAGCACGTACTAGAGTCCGACGTGCAAAAGTTAGCCATGCCAAAGTTAGAGTGCCACCAATTAGATTGGAGGGTTATTCGAAGTATGGTGGAGGAGATCTTTAGAGACACCGAAGTCCAGGTGTTAGTCTGTTGCAATCCGCATAGTTACTGGTGCGGAGAGAAAACCGTCCCTTGTCATTTTTATAAAACTGGAAGTTGTAAAAGAGGGTCCAGTTGCCGATACCAGCATACCGTTTCAGTTCCAGTCCCGACAAGGTTCCAGGAGGAACCATCTTTTAAGAGGGGGGCAATGTTACGATAATTATGGCGTTTATAACTATCAATATATTATGACTAATTCTGTTTTCTGTTCCAGTAAATTCGAAGTTGTTTACAGAAACTTTTAGACCCTAGTTTTATGAGTAATCCACGTCTCGAGGCTTTTCGAACAGTTGAAAAACGAGTCGAGCGCCTTCACCAAAATACGAGATTATTCAAGAAGTCCGCCGAATAATCTAGATGATAACAGTTGTGTATATAAACCAAAGATTTTTTATTTGGAGTCAGTCATAAGAAGATCGGGAAACGCGGTTTACTTGTAACGAAACGTGACATAAATACATTTGTACAGCTATTTAATAAATTAGTAATTAGTTATCGTGAGTTTTAATAAATTAGAATATAGACAATAAATTAGAATAAAGACAAATAAATTAGAACTATATAAATATAACAATATATTCAATAAATGAAATGAGGTTGAATGCTCGAATAACATAAGCTCCCTCCAGATACTGACAGAGAATGTAGCGTAGAATCTTTAAGTAATTTTAAACTGTTTGTCCTCGTTTTAGTGTAGTGTTTTGTACAATTTTATGTTATTTTTAATGTTTCCACATTCTACGCTTGCCGGATAGTTCACATTTTGACGAAATGCCCCTGAAGATGCTATTTTAAGCGAAAGTACTTGGGCTTGATTTAATTAACTTGTGCTCGATAATAGCCTTATTTTCAAAGTTATATATATATATTCTTTTGTTAAAAAAGTGTGCAATACATACGTGTATTTTATGTTTAAATTAAATTGTGATTATAATTCTTTACAATCAATTTATTTTGTTTATGTTTCGATTATATTGTGGGACTTTTATTTAATCTATTATAGTTATTCCAATACCTTTTTTTCATTACACACAAAAATCATTATCAGTGTTGCTCAAATACAAGAACAAGACGAGACTTAAACAGTCTTAGTCTTGCACCAATACACCTGGTCTTGGTCTTGGTCTTGGTCTTGCAGCAAGAATCTTGCAAGTCTTGCAGTTACCCATTAGCATATTGCTATTTATTAAACTTTAGGTCTTAGAACAATGTAACAAAGCAAGTACATTTTAAGTTGAAATAAACATAGTCATAATAAAGACCAACCAAATTAATAAATGTCTAAACAATTGACACCGGGTAGAATTTGAAGCCCCGATTTAAGCGATCCATGCCTATGCTCTAACTAACTTAGCTATCTACCATGCCCCACGGAAGTCAATCTGCCTCTTAATAAACTTTTGCATTTAATAAGCTCACATGTGCTAAAACATGGTTAAAACACAAAAAAAAACAAACTAATGAAATAAATTTGACTGTATTTTAAAGAACATTATCTGCCTAGAAAGGGATTGATGGACCCCCCACCATATATGAAATGGAAATCTTAACAAAGATTGGTATGTGGCAAAAAATCCACAAACATGTATCAACGGCACATATTCTTTAGGTGATAAGATAACAAACTATTATACACTTATTAAAGCAACATAAATATTGTTAACAATCTTAGCTCTACTTTTATATAAAAAACTAACTTGAAAAAATAAAGACATTGATAATCAAAAGAAGTTACTTTAAATTAAGAAGATAATGCGGATGACACTGTTATCTTAGTCAAAAATATTGAAGATCTTGAGTGGCTGGTGAGCAGAACAGCGGAGTATAGAAAAGAGCACAATCTAACAATGAACGTCAAGAAGACGAAATTTGAGAATATTGAAAACTCAAAGAAATATTATAAATCTTCTAATAAACGGAACCAACGTCAAACAAGTGGACAAATATGCATACCTGGGAACAATGATTAACTCCACAAATGATTACATTCAGGAGATCAAAATCAGAATAGAAAAGGCTAGAGCAAATTTCAACAAAATGAGAAGAGTTTTATGTATAAGGCATTTGAAATTGGAACTAAGAGTTAGGTTGGCGAGGTGATATGTTTTTTCGATTTTGTTTTATGAATGCAATATCAATGGAAAAAACTGAAATCATTCGAGCTGTGGGTGTATAGAAGAATTCTGAAAATATCGTGGACAGAACACATCACAAACAAAGAGGTTCTGAGAAGAATGAATAAAGAAATAAAAATTTTAAATACAATTAAAACAAGAAAATTTGAATAGTTATCTCGGACATATTACGCGTGGAGAGAAATACATCTTGCTCCAACTAATTTGCAGTGAAAAATCCAAGGAAAAAGAAGCATAGGGAGGCGTAGAATATCGTGGCTGCCAACCTGCGAGTGTGGTACGGATGTACATCAAATAAACTTTTCAGAGCAGCCGTCTCAAAAGTCCTAATAGCTTTGATGATACTCGACCTCCGTCGCGGAGATAGCACTTGAAGAAAGAAAACGCTGGTTCGGAAGAAGGCAACAGTCCTGGATGCGTAACATTAGACAATGGACATATCAAACGGCCGAGGAACTGTTTTATCTAGCTGCTGACCGAGAAACATTTCATCAGCGTGTTAATACGATGATAGGCAAGTTTGAAAAAAAGTACGACACACAAAGACGAAGGTGATTTGATGATAATTATGCAATCAGTGATAGATTTTTTATGTCTACGCATCATGCGCCTTGTATTCGACGAATGGCAAGGAAGAATATCAGTCGGAGTCCGAAAAATCAGCAATCTCTGCTGTACTGACGACACTTTAGTACAAGCATCATCAACAAATAACCTTGAATACATCATGTACAGTACTATATACTATTAGTCGTGAATATGGACTTAACATTATTGCACAGAAGACCAAGGTAATGATAATGAATCGAATTAGAAATAACAAACCGGAAATATGAAACGTAGCGGGGTTTGAAGTGGTAAGCCGTTTCAATTACTTAGGTTCTGTTATCACAAACAATGGTGGATGCGAAGAAGAGATACGTCGACGCCTTACAATGGCCAGATTAGCAACGGTAAAACTTACTAAAATCTGGAGAGATATGGACATAACCAGGAACACGAAACTGCGTCTAGTACGGATGCTTATCTTTACTATCGCTACCTATGAGTCAGAAACTTGGACCATTAAAAAGTCCGACTCACTACGTATAATGGCCTTTGAAATGTAGGTATATCGTAGAATAATGCGCATACCCTGGACAGCACATCGCACAAATGTCTCAATATTGACAGAACTCGACTTGATCAGTACTAGGCTTACCACAATAATCAACCAAAATATATTGAGGTACTTTGGACTCATTACAAGACGAATAGAAGGCATGAAGAGGTTGGTGGTTGAAGAGAGAGAAGAATAGATAGCAACCATAAGTGTTTTTTATTTTGGCTCTTATTGTTTTTATAGTGTATGTAGTGATAAGAGTAAATTTTGTGGAAGTTTGAAAACAAAGTTTTCAGTATTTTATTGTTACATAAAATGAATTTACATTAAGTAAGGTCGAATCCATCATTTAGATAGCGGTTTTTAAGAAACTCTTAATAAGCAGATTATTTCATAAAAAGATGCGAAATAAATACTCACTGTAAAAAAGTTACTCAGTCCAGTCCTGGAAAAAATTGTGTTCACCACTGTCTGACTTTTATTTGGCATACATCGATTGAAAAACTTCCTGCTGAAAGTAAAAACGATTAGCTTTTATTACTAATATACACCCGGAAGTAATATGATTTGATTTTATCGATGTAAGGTAATAATAAACTCAGAAATTCACCCCCTAATCGACATACTACAATTTATAATAGATATATAATAGATATACATAATCTGATATAACTTACAACAAATAGAGTAGATTAGAGCAAACATATCTGATTATTTCGTGGTATTGACCTCACGGGCCATTGAATAAAAACTTTGAAAAGTTTTATAAATCAGTTATACAGAGTGGCCCAAAAGTCTGGAAACGGCTAATTATCTCGTAAATTACTAGACATATTTATACAAAATTTGAGATACGCCTATTTTGGGATACGGAGATTCCATATTTGGTATTTGCAATGTTGCCAGATTTTCAGTTTCTCTTATATTACTAGTAACTTTGGTTTTTCAAATGCATCACTCTGTATATTCAGTCATTATTGGAATCTCCTATTAAATACGAGTTCAACCATATATAACACTTATGACTTCATGTACTCTGGAAGGTCTTAAATACATAAAACAGAAGTCTGGCAACGCCTAAATTGTTTCAATACATTTTTTAATACTAACTATTTTCAAATACATTAAAACGTAACAATTGATAGTTTAGAATATTTTTTAACATAATAGTTACGTTATTAAGTGTTCAAAATGTGCTCCATTTGTGAGTTGATACCACTCTAATCGATGGTAGAATGCGTCTACCACATTTCTCCATGGTTGTCTAGAAATTATTCGAGATTCATCGATAATTCATTGCCTTAGCTATGCAAGACTTGCTGGTGAAGTTTTGTAAACTGAATTTTTCAAGTATCTCTAATAAAAATAATCTTTAGGATTGAGATAGGGTGAACGTGGAGGCCATTCAATTCTACCTTGTCTACCAATTTATCGTCCGGGAAATATCTCATCTAAATAACGCCGAACAGTTACACCAACTATCTGACGTTAAATTTCTTTCGATAAAAAATGGCCCAATTAAATAAGTACCTACTATGACTGACCATACATTTAATTTTTGTGGTCTTTGAGTATGGTTTTCACGCATTCAGTGTGAATTTCACACGAGTTCAGCTATTCAATACGAGTTCAACCATATGTTCACTTGATTTTATATAGTCTGAAAGATCTTAAATACGTAAAACAGTGCAAAATATGTAGATTTTATTAAATTTAAATATTTAAATGGAGAATGCTGTGATTTTGACATTTGTTCACCATTTAAATTATGAACTAAAATTGACAGTAGTTGTGGTTCAAAAAGTTCTGCAATTTAAATTGCTTCTCTAAAATGCCGTTCTCTAAACCGTTCTCCCACTCATAAGACGATGGTACAAAAAACTGTAAGGCGATTTGAGGAATCTGGAGAAGTAAAAGATAGATACCGATCAGGTTGACCGAAACGAGTTATCAATGACAACAAAACTTCAGATATAAGCAAAGTTTTGTTGAAGATCCACATACATCCCCAGGCAGGGTTGCACAAGTACATGATATAGGTCATTCTTCAGTCTTACGTTTATTACGTAAAAATAAATTTAAATAATACAAAATTAACTTATTGCAAGAATTAAGTGAAGATGACTTTGGTCGTAGACTAGAGTTTACTAAGGTAATGATGGATAAAATTGAAAATTTTTAAAATTTCATTAACAGAATATGTTTTTCCGATGAAGCAACTTTTACACTGTGTGGAAGTGTAGATCGACACAATTTAAGGTACTGGTGTGACGTAAATTCACACTGAAGACTGAATGCGTGAAAACTATACTCAAAGACCACAAAAATTAAATGTATGGTCAGATATAGTAGTTACTAATTGGGTCATTTTTTGTCGAAAGAAATTTAACGTCAGATAGTTGGTGTAAATGTTCGGCGATATTTAGATGAGATATTTCCTGGACGATAAATTGGTAGACAAGGTAGAATTGAATGGCCTCCACGTTCACCCGATTTCAATCCTAAAGATTATTTTTATTAGGGATACTTGAAAAATTCAGTTTACAAAACTTAACCAGCAAGTCTTGCAGAGCTAAGGCAACAAATTATCAATGAATCTCGAATAATTTCTAGACAATCATGGAGAAATGTGGTAGACGCCTTCTACCATCGATTAGGGTGCTGTCAACTCACAAATTGAGCACATTTTGAACACTTAATAACGTAAATACTATGTTAAAAAATGTTTTAAACTATCAATTGTTACGTTTTAATGTATTTGAAAATAGTTAAAAAATTTATTGAACAATTTAGGCGTTTCCAGACTTCGGTTTTATGTATTTATGACCTTCCAGATTACATAAAATCATAAGTGTTACATATGGTTGAACTCGTATTGAATAGGAGATTCCAATAATGACTGAATATACAGGGTCATGTATTTAAAAAACCAAAGTTACTAATAATATAAGAAAAACGGCAAATCTGGCAACATTGTAAATATCAAATATTGAATCTCCGTATCCCAAAATAGGTGTTCCTCAAATTTTGTACAATTATGATTAGCATTTTACGAGATAATTAGCCGTTTCCAGACTTTTGGGCCACTCTGTATATGTATATGTACGTAGTATGAGAAAGTAGATAAGGAATGCAATAAACTATAGTAAAATATATTACTAAATATAACAATTCACTGCAAACAATGTTTGGTAGGCCATCCAAAAAAATAATAGAGTCTCCATTTTTCGTCGTAAACATATTATAGGGGGAAGTTATATTATCACAGCACGCTAGTTTATCTTTATCTTGCATACAGCAAGAGCAAAAATTGGTAACGAACTTACTGGAAGTGTGCAGATCAAAAGAGGTGTCTGTCAGGGGTGTATCTTATCCATACGGTAATACTTGCCAGTACCATAGACGAATTACACCAGGTAATGAAACGAGTTTATTCAGTTAGTGAGGAATACGGCCTGAGCCTTAACTTCAAGAAGACAAAGTGGATGCTGATAAGCAAAAAGCAACAACCTGCTCGACAATTACGGATAAGTAACATACTAATTGACCATGTAGAATCTTTTGTGTACATTGGCACCAACGTAAATGTAAAATGAAAAATGGCCACAGAAATTAAGGCGCAAATAGAACGAGCAAGAGCAACATTTAACAATATGAAAAAGCTCCTCATAAGCATGGATTTGTCTCTTCCCCTAAAACTGCGTCTAGTTTAATGCCACATTTTTCCGATCTTACTATATGGTGTGGAGGCCTGTACGCTGACAGAGACGCTCACGAGGAAACTAGAAGTATTAGAAATGTGGGTGTACCGACGCACCAACATAGAGGTAATCCAAAGAATCGTATTTCAAATTCAAATTAAAAAAGGAGTTAGACAAGGATGTGTGCTGTCACCAATGCTATTTAATCTCCATTCGAAAGAAATTATGAAGAAAGCATTGGAGGAAGAAGAGATTGGAATAAAAGTTAACGGCCAACCAATTAATAATATTAGATACGCAGATGATACTGTTTTAATGGCGGAGACAGTAGAAGACCTGCAAGCCATGTTAAACAAGGTAGTCACAGCTAGTGAAGAGAAAGGATTAACAATGAATGTCAAGAAGATGAAATTCATGATTATTTCAAAAAACAAAGATTGAATGCAAACCTATACATTCACAATAACGAAATCGAACAGGTGCACAAATATAAATACTTGGGAACAAGTGTTAACAACAATGACATCACAGAAGAAATAAAAACTAGAATTGGAAAGGCTCGAGCTGCTTTTGTTAATATGAAGGACATTCTGGGAAGTCATGACATTAACCTAAACCTGAAAATGAGATTGGTTAGATGCTACATCTTTTCGATACTGCTGTACAGAGTAGAGACTTGGACTTTAAACAAGAGCAATATCGATAAACTAGAGGCCTTCGAAATGGATATATAAAGGAATTTTGAAAATACCTTGGACAGACAAAATAACAAATAGTGTAGTTCTTCGAAGAATGAACAAAGAACGGGAGCTGTTGATCACTATTAAGAGGAGAAAGCTGGAATATCTTGGTCATGTGATGAGAGGGAAAAAGTACCGATTGAGTTAATTATCCAAGGAAAGATTTAGAGCAAACGAAGCGTGAGGAGAAGACATATATCTTGGCTACGCAATTTAAGAGACTGATTCCAGTGCACATCTAACCAATTATTTAAAGCAACAGCTTCAAAGATACGAATAACAATGATGATTGCCAAACTCCGTAACGGAGAGAGCACTTAAAGAAGAAGAAAGAATCGGAAAGGAAAATGAAATCGTGAGCACAATTAAACAAAGACAGCTGGAATATCTAGGCCACATATTAAGACACGATAAGTACAGTAACAAACAGGAATGGATGACAGAAGAGATTTTACAATTAATGAACAAACGAAGAGAATCTAAAGGAAAAAATGACAAGGACGTAGAATACAAAAGACTAAATAGAATAATTCGAAAAAAAATACCCGAAGCAAAAGAGAAATGGCTGGAAACAAAATGCGTTGAAATAGAAGAACTGCAACAAAGGCACGATTTTTTTAATTTACATAAAAAGGTAAAAGAGTTGACATCGACTACCAAGAGAACGACTTTTCACACCATGCTGAACACGGATGACAAACTGCTAGAATCAACGGAAGATAAACTGAAAGAATGGGAAAACTATATTAAAATTCTTTTTCACGACATACGAGAAGAACCAAGATTGGAAAATAACAACGAAGGGCCAACAATTCTGAAATCTGAAATCATAAATGCAATTAATCATCTCAAAACAAATAAAAGCCCAGGTCCAGACGGAATATACCCAGAAACGCTCAAATTAATCAGCGAAGAAAATATCGAATTATTTGTCCTTTTATTCAATCGCATTTATGATACAGGTAAAATACCTCAAGATTGGCTGGAGTCAATATTCATCCCACTACCAAAAAAGCCAAACCCACAACACTGCAATGAGTTCCGTCTGATAAGCCTTATGAGTCATGCTG